AGCTCACATCAGCTGGGAAAGGAATTTGTAAATCGATGCTCATGCTACTGTTCAACTCTGTTCACACCAACTGGTCGACTAAGTGTAATGTGAACAGAGTGTCTGCATAGATGAGCACCGTGGGTACGGGGTTAATCCCCTTTCTTACAATATATACGTCTAATATCTGTTAGCACGATAACTCAAGCAAAAATCATCCGATTTTGATGCAATTTGATATTAATTTGCTTCGTCGGCAGGTTTGCTGGAGCGGGGGTATTTTTATTGATTTGATAGTCTTGTTCCTTACTTACATTGAAAAAATTATAAATGGTTGAAAAATTGCCATGTAACATAGCATACTACACCAACATAGTGGAAGGGGGCCCGAGCTCGATTCTGGTTACAGGGCCCACAATTTAATGTGGGGGCCATGCAGGTAATACCTCTCACCGTTTTCAGTGAGGTCAGGATTGAATGGTAACTAAAGGTTTTTTTACACAATCCAAATTACAGGTGTACCATAAGATACATTTTAACAACAAAAGAAGCTTGCATAGTTATCTGAGAGTTTGAGAATGTATTGTGAATAAGACTCAACATAGCATTTTCACAAGCATAATAGAGTATTCAAGTATGTCTACGGTTATTTTTTATTTTTATAGATTTAAAAATTAAGATAATAAGATTTAAAGATTCAGTTCCCTTAATTAAAAATTCCTAAGTATTCAATAAATAGATGTCTTATTAGGTACTTGAATTCCACCACGAAATCTAATATTAAACCTTTCTTGGTATAAAACCAATTATTTACTTTTTGTAGAATAAAACACACTCTTTGATCTTGTGAAAACACCATGTTGAGTCTTTTTCCCAATAAATTCCAAGTAACACTAAGACTCATACAACACCAGTATAATTGGAGGCCTACATAACATACACATACATAATATATAAAATTACTATAACACATTCGGAACCATATACTATGATTAATTTTAATTTGTTTATTTTATTTTATTTCTCTGATTTTAAATAATTACCAGTAATATTTTATTTTATAACTAAAACATTTTGTTCATGTTAACTCATTTTATTTTATTTTTTCCAGGTAATTTATTCCCACATCTAACTACTTCTGAGAATCATTTCCAATGTTCACAATGCAAGAAGACTTTCAAATATAAGTACAACCTTACAAAACATGAGAAATATGAGTGTGGCAATTTAAGGCCGTTCACCTGCCATCTTTGTTCTTTTACAACTAAAACAAAATACAGCCTGAAAACACATCTAATCAATAAACATAAAATATGTCCTTAATTTATAGGTTTGCGTTTGTATAGGTTACAGGTAATTTTAGGTGTGGGAGAAAATATTTAGTTCCACATTAAAAACTAATCAAAATATTACCGCGGAAAATTAATTTTTTTATGTTTATTTTATAGTAAAGTATTCAATTCAAAATTTACAAAATTTTTAAAAGGAGTTTATATAACAAAAATTGTATTGATTAGTTACACAAGGAAATTTAATATTTTGGATTCAAGCCTTTGTACAGTGTTGAATTAATTATATTTGAATAAAACATTATATAAATCAATACATTACATATTGTTGTGAAAATACAAATCTTTATGTAAAATAAACATTTTTGTTTTTTATTACTAGATCAAATAAAGTTTACTTTACTTAATGAATTCGTCTGTTTTTCTTTTTGTGTTTTTATGTTTTTTGCTAGAGGACTGTCCAAAATTAGCATCTAAGTGGCTACCACCAGGAATGAATCAGCCATTGGATTTGAAGATTTTCATTATAAACACTCACCAAAACCACTAGTTGATAGAAAATCCTAGTGTTTTGACAGTCCAAAATATTTATAGTTTCCTAACCTTATTAAAACTAAGTTGTGGATCTCTTTTCTCAAAAAAGTGCAGTTCAGTAATTATTCTATGAACTGTGGTTAAAAAAAGTTTTAGAAGCCAAATCTTCAGAATGAAATGTGTACTGATTACTTTTTCATTTGTGAATCTCATGTTTAATTTTGTTCAAATAGGGGTGCAGTTAATCGATTATTTAAGCCACACTTTTGCAAGACTATTGTACTTTATTAATAAATCTACTTACATATAATCTACCATTGTTTTTCTTTGCATCCTTTACATTATTTAATTGTCCATCCAATCCCAGCAAAACTTTGAGATATTGTTCTTTTTAGGACTGTGAAAGTTTTTGCCCTTTTCTCATTATGATATTTAATTACTCAGGGCTCTGCCCCAGTGGCTTAACAATGTTACCATTGAAAGATTTTATATGACTTTTTTACATGAAAAACAACTTAAAAACTTGAGATGTTTAAAAAAACATTGATTATTTAGTTTACACTGCTCATTTAAACAAATGAAATAAAATATTTTTCACCACACTATGATGTTTTTAGCTGTTTTACATACGCTAATTGGTGGCTGAAAGTTACGTTTTGCTGGCCATGCCAGATGTCATCGTCATTTGGGGACCGAGCAGGTTTTTACATACAGAGCCGCAAAATCAGCTGGCCCGCTTACTTTATTAAAAATATGAATGCATATTACACAATCAGTATCCATAGCATTGCAATAGAACTGTTTTATTGTCACCACTGCCTAGCAACTATTTATTATTTTTTTTGCTGATTACTCAAAATAATTCTTCACATAACCTTAAAGTTCTAGTTGTGTTGACTATCAGTGTGCATTGTGGTGAATGGTGGAATAAATAGGATATAGTGTGGTGAAAAATAGCGTTCGTACCACGGACCGAAATGGTCTGGCAGCTCCCGATAGTTTTAAGTTCTCGACTTTGTCTCGAACTTAACCCTCCGAGTGTTAAGCGTCGCGTAATCGACGCACAACACACCCGCCGTGGTGTTATGCGTCGCTTTTGCGACACACAAACGTCGTTTACGGCGAAGGCTCTGGAACTGACATAATCAGATTGAACTGGATCGAGATTGGTATCGTTGTTTTCGGCAGATTCTAAGCTTTCTCCTGATGTTTGTTTCTAGACGCTTTTCATTTTAGTTCCGAAAATATTGTAGCAGACAGCTGACGTGCGTATTTGTAAACAACTTGGTTAACCTCGCACCGATGACTGATGTGTTTTATTACGTTTATCATTGTTTTAGTGTTAAAAATCAAAAGTAGTGATATACGTGGTGCATTATAAGAAGATTTAAGTGATTTTGAAGGGCTGGTTGATGATCCTGAAGAAGTAGGTAGTGATATTGATTTATTTATCAGCCAGATTCCTAGCTATGGTTAGGCTATGCATTCTTAGCTAACGCTAAATGTACAAAATCTGTTTTTCACCCATAACTTATTTATTTGCAAATTTACTTCCTTATATTATTATATTTTTGTAATCCTTATAAAATTTAGAACAAATTGGCTATTTTAAAATATTTGTAGACTTATAAACTATAAAAATTTATTGAGCGCAAACATAAATTTTTTAATTTATTTTATAATTTTTGAGAATTTTTAACCCCACAAAAATTGTTGAAAATTATTTTTGTAATGTTTTATATATTACATTGAAGCCCATAATTTCCCAACAAAATGATATGTAAAACAGTATACTTTACATTGTTTTTAAGTTTCTAAGATACATTTTAATAAAACCCTGCAATTGTGCAATAAATGGGCGGACATTAATACCATTACTATGGACACTTGGAGGGTTAAAAACTATCTCGGGCCGTCAAAACCTCATTTTCGGCCCTAGGTACGAAATATACTATTGCAAAATTAAATTATATGTTTATTTATGTCTGTGGCAAATTTTATTGAACATTTACAATCACATTGGTTTTCTAGCTGCCTTGAAAGAGCTTTATAATTCCAGGGTTAAAGTTGTTATTATTAAAAACCAGTTATTTATTATTTTAAATAAGTAGAGTAGCAGAGTTGGTAGCCTTAAAAAAATTTAATAATATGTATTTAGCTATTAAAGTCACTAAAAGTAGATAAAGTAGCTATTAGGAAGTAAATAAGTAGGTAAACATAACAATAATTTTTTATTATTTTCCAGAATATGAGAATGGCAAAGGAGAAAGTCCTGCAATATTTGTATGTTTGAAATGCAGTACAACTTTCAAGTACAAATACAACTTGACGAAACATGAAAAATATGTCTGTGGAGGCCAAAAACCGTTTTGTTGTAATTTGTGTTCTTATAATACAAACCAAAAACATGCCTTGAAACTACACATTTTCAACAAGCATAGAGAATAAATTGAGACGTTTAAGGGATGTGAATAGTTTCAGATGTATACTACTTCTTTTTCTTGTAAAAATCGAAAAAGAAAGAATTACTAATATATTGTCGTGTTATAATTGTTTTGTTTTTGTTAAAAATGCACGTACAGAGTTATGACTGTAAAAAATATTTCATACATAAATGTGTTTTATGTTTTATCCTCAATTCCTTCTCTCATACCATTTACAAACTTTATTTTGTATACAACTAGATCTCATACAAACTTATGAACACATGCAAAAATGTTCATTTAAATTTTCAAGATAAGATAAATAGTTGAAAATAAACTTAGCCATCAAAGCCTCGACTTTAAAGAGATTTAATTCTATGACCTTAACATTCATTGTGTTGTCATTATCAATGACGATTACTTTAGCTGGGATAAGGCTTATTGTATGATTAGGTATAGTAATTTGGTCCTTAAGGCCTTAGTTCAAATCCAGCCTAACACCAATGGCTTAAGTCTTATAATAATGTTTGGACCCATTTTTAAGTCGACGTTAAGTTGTTGGTATGCTTACAATTATTATGGATGTAAGTTGACTAAAGTAATAATCTACTCAAAAACTACATAGCTTACCGGTTATTTAACATAAATCTTCCACAAATACAAGAATGCTATAAAGTTAGATTGATAATACCGGTAACTCAGGGAATATGTTGTACCAAATAATTGTTCCAACATCTCTTGACACTGTTTTCATGAATTCCTTTTTTTTCTTCAGACATTGATCTAATCTACCAGTGCTCCATTTGTTCAAAGTCTTACAAGCACAAGAAAAACCTCAACAAACATATGAAGTACGAGTGTGGGAACCAGAGGCCATTTGTGTGCGACTTGTGCCCGTACAGCGCCAAGCAGAAGGTTCACCTTCGAGCACATCTTTTCACCAAACACCGTGTCACCAGTTAATAAATAAAAACGTAAATGTCCATAGACTGTTAATTCTTCTGGACCTTGAATAAAAACCAAAGTTTGTTTACAAAGTAGTAATAAAAGCTCTTTCCTTTGTAAATTCTGTGTGAGAAATAAACATAAATTTTATTTATTTACTCAACATATTATTGTGTTAGTGTAGACACAGTGTGAGTGAGTTGGTCTAGTAGTAGAGCACGCGACTTTGGTTCCCAAGGTCCCAGGTTTAAATCCCTTCAACCACCAATGGACTTATAAGTGATAATCCTGTGACCCTTTAGTATAAGTAATGTGTGTAACAGGGCTAGAGCCTGCCATCCTAGGATGTGAAGGTGGACATAAAAAGGTGGATATGTTTAAAAAGTTATTAGAAATATATTTTTGTTCAAAATCACCCATCTTAATTACCGTAATAGTTTGGGCCTTGACAATAGCTATAAAAGAAAGCAGGAAAGCGCCAAGATGGTCTGATAAGATTTTTGGCAGTTGATGGTAACCGTTAGTGTCAAGAAATTGTTAAACGTTATTTAATAGAATCTCATCTGACTTTTTTTTTTCTTTAGAATACTTATGATAAATTTCCTTTATTATTCTTCCAAACAAAAACACCTGAAATTGTCACTAGCAACCATCAATAGTTGGGTCCTATGGAGGGTTATGATTATTTATTTGTTCCTTTGTGTTGCAAATGTTTTAATGTTATATGTTTTCTATTTTTTTATAAACAATCAATTTTAATTTATAGTGACTAAGTGTCGAAAAAATTGTTTTCCTCTGAAGGTAATTTCCTTCTTCAATATGAATTTCTCTCACCTGTATATGAGTTGGTAGGAAGGTGTGTGAGGACTAGATGACAGTCAAGACAGGATGGGTCAGGTTCAAAATGGAGTTCTGCAGAAGTAAGTAACAAAGAAGATTATATAGCTGACCAGTTCAAAGAAGTTCTAGAGCTAGATATGGAAGGACTTTTCTAGATACATTTTAACAATTGTCTAGCCTGGGAAATATTAGTTGTGGCACTGGTTTGCGAGCCTACATCTTTGCGGCCATGGATTTGTAGTCCATTGTCTACAAAGTTTGCAATCTATTCACAAAAAACTGAAAGTGATTTTATTCTTAATAGTCGCTGGGACGGTTTTTAAAATTAAAAATACGGTGTTTTACAGGCAGCATGTTTATTATGTTCTTTAGCCACCTCCTCTTTAGTGCACACCAAAAAGTGTGATAATATTAGTGCTTACAACTGATACATCAACTTTTTTCCAGGTTACATTGTGGTAGAGGGTAAAGAGACTGACAGATTTCAATGTCTTGCTTGCAACAAAATTTACAAAGGGAAAGGCAACTTGATTAAGCATCAGAGGTACATTCATTTGATTATATCTAGTGTTGCTTCTGTTACCTACAGATCACTTTTGTCATTTAATTTTCCATGTAAAGGCAAACACACATAATCTGGTAAAGAATGGCCAAAAGTGGTTTCAGACATATCATGTCTATGATAAGTGTAAGAAAATTACTTGACTAAAGATTTTTTCTTTCAAATTGAATGCTACAGTCTGGAACCGTCTCCTGATCCTTTGTCTACCTGGGACTAGCCCAGTCCTTCCAATCGTTGTGCATTCCCCAGATAGACCTGCGATCAGGAGATTGGTTCCATCATACAGGGTATATTAAAACAAAACTTGGCAGGATATAAAAATAAACCATAAACAACAAACTGTTAGGATTAAAACGTGATTAAAAATACTTAAAAAACATGACAGCACAATCCGTATTAGAAAATTAAAATTACAAATGTAATTACTGAGCATCAAAAGTGTTTAAGAACCTTTTTTTCAGAATTGCATGTACAAAAATTTTTTACATCCAAATTCAATTTCTAGTTTCTTTGTCAGATAACCTCTCTACCGGAGACTACTGTTAATACAAAATGAACACAATTTTTGTTTGGATGAAAAAAATTATGATGTTTAAAGAAAGTTCACTTCAGTAATTACTGTATAATACCAAAATTTGAGTATTCATCTAGTGGTGCGAAAGTGATAAGAAGTTTATTAAATTTACAAAGATTGAAAATCCGTCTATGTTGAATGGACAATTAATATTAGAATGTAAGAGAACCAGTAAAAACCTAGTATGCATCTATATTTTCTATGTTTTGCTTGTTCCAGATATGAATGTGGGGATAAACGTCCATTTGCATGTACTCTCTGCAGCTATTCGGCCAAACAAAAGAACAATTTGAAGCTTCACATGTTCAATAAGCATCAAATTGCCAACTTTAAGTAAAAGTTCATTGACTTATTGTTTAATATACATTTATTTTATGCATTAATAAATTTCAGTGATGGATTTAGGTGTTGGCTATAGGACAAAGAACCAATTAAGTTTTCTTTTCAAGTGTTTGTTTGTTGAATTAAGTTTTGAGGATTTATTAAAAACATAACTTAAACGAAAAGAGATCAAATAAAGTTTTGGAATAGGGCACCTTGTTGGAGTATCCAAATCCTCAACTTATAAGTGCATCAATAGAAAAAGTTTTCAGTTTTATAATGTTTTTCAACCATATACACTTTATATGTTTGCAGTTTGATCAAAATGTTAAGTATTATTATTATGTTGTTTTTTTGTGTGTTTGGACATATTGTTTTCATTGTGTTTGTGTTGAGCATTATCAAATAAAATTATTTTGATTTGTGTTGAATTTCTTATATTTATAAGCTTTTAATACGGTAATTGAAAAGTACAAATAAATTGAATTGTTTGTATTTCATTTTATGTTTTCTCACTGTTGTTTTGATTTTACTCATCAATGAGTTGATTGTTGAGCTTCATACTTCATCATAAGTATACAAATAAATAAGTTAACAATTTGATATACATTTATTACTGTACCAAATTCCTTATTTTGTAACCATTGTACATATTTAAGGATACTTATGATTCATTAACTCCCATTTCACTCTGACTCTACAAACTAAATTAATACAAATGCCTAACTAAATTTGTATCAAATGTAAAATACTTTTAAAATAATAAACCAACTTAGGTTTAACATTCAGAATGTTTCTGATAAATATATTAGGACATATGATGTGATATAAACATTTATATTTCTGATTTAAATAGAAACATTCAAAATAAAAAAATATGTTTTTTTATATATTGTGATCCGTTTACCAGTACCTTTTTGTTTAATACTACTTACTCATTTATGATATTACCTTTTTGTGCTATTATCTACTTATAATATTGCCTTCTTTTTCGTCAAATAAGATATAGCTACAAAACTTGTATTTAATAAAGAAAACAAACAAGAATAGGTATATTTTTTGAAGCTTTACCGGTATGGGCTGGGTTAGGTTAAGTTTATCACAATACTACAACCTGGCTCAAATCCACCTTAAAACTGAGATTGTGAATACATGGTAAAATAACGAGTTTTTTTCAGAACCAGAAATAGGGATTATTGAAGATTCAGAAGGTCTAAAGTTTCAATGTCCGACATGCCACAGTTCTTCAGGAAACAAATCAGCACTTCCACCGATGCGCAAACTAAATCATGTTCTGGCAAAGACAACAAAACTAGACAAGAGAGGACGCCTTCTAGGGAAAAGATGCCTTCAGTGCCTTAGAGAAGGAAGACGCAAACATACCGTATTTATGTGTGCCCAGTGTAAAGAAGAACCGCACTTGTGTGCTTTGGCTTGTTTTGACAAGTTTCATGCAGAGTTGCAATAAAAAGCAGTGTGCTTAGGGAGGTTAGGAGTGTTATCATGTTAATCAACTTTTTGAATGTTTCTGTTATGCTGTTTTTTATGTTATATGTGTTAAAACTGTGACTAACTTTGGTGTTGTAGCTCTTAGTGATGCTAAGCAGGGGAATTCCTGCGGAAATTCTGGCCTCCTCATGGTATACACTACTGTTTCAAAAGTTTGAGAGGTTTTGGGATCAAGAATAAGGTTTCAAGTCATTGTGGAAACTTATTTTCTATTATTTTTGGTATAAGCACCTCCAATAATGTTTTTGTCAAAAACTTTAAAAGAGTATTTATTTAAATAAACTTAAATATAAGACAATAAAAAATAGGCTTATGAACGTCGTCAATCCTAGTTTAATCTAGTTTTCAAGCCTCTTGTCAAGATTTGTATTCATGCGTGGAGGCAATGTTGAATAAATACAAAATAAGGACACGTTGCGCTCTTTAATTTATTGTGATACTACAAAATGATTATGCTACACCTACTACCTACTTTAATTTACATTTTACTGTACCATTTATCATGTTGTTATCTACCTAATTGTAATACATAGCCATTATCATTTTTCAATTTGGAAGGGAAAGAGGGTAAGTAAGAAATTTGTAACATAAAAACACCCTCATCAGGTAAAAACTAATAAAGTATTTGTAATAGGAAAGTTATTTTCTTTCATCCCCTTTCATAGTTACAAATCCATCAATGTTTTGAGTAAGAAAAGGTAATTTAGATACTTTGACCCTGAAAAAAACTAAAAGAGACTATATACTTACTTACTTACTTACTGCCGTGGCTCTTGGTACCCAAGGTGGTACTTTGCCTCGCCAACACACTGCCTCCAGATTTTTCTATCCATTGCCTCATCTTCCCTTCTTCCCAGTCTTCTTAGGTCTTTTCTAACCTGGTCTCGCCATCTCAACTTGGGCCTTCCTGGTGGTCTTCTAACCTCCGGATTGTTCAAAAGGACGTTCTTGACTAAGGAGTCGTCCTCTTTCCTTAGTAGATGGCCAGCCCTACTATATATAAGTAAAAAGAGACTATATACAGGTATAAAATGGCTGAATTAGGTTTAAAGTTTATCACAATACATCTCTGAAATTTTACTCACGATCGTTAACACATACTAACAAGTGTTTTTTTTTCAGACCCAGGAATACTAATTATAGAAGACTCAGAGGGACTGAAGTTTCAATGCCCGACATGCCATAGAGTTTACTTCCACAGAGGAAACTTGGTCAAACATCAAAGATATGAATGTGGGGACAAACGACTCTTTAAGTGTAGCTTCTGTGGATTTAGAAGCAAACAAAAAGGGAATTTGAAGAGTCATATTATGTTAAAGCATCAAGTCGTCCCAGATAAATTATGAATATTTAAAAAATTCTTTGCAGCTTTAAAATTGTATACAGTATATATATTTTTTTTGTTTTTTTATACTTTTTAGATAAGTTGAATGAGTTAGTAAACAAAAAATTCAAGTCTTTATCAAAGGGTTGTTTTGTATTGTATCAGTATTTTTTTATCTGTACAGTAGTAGATTTTTTAAAATATCACACTGAAGCAAGACCCCACTACACTACACTGAAGTGGAAAGTTCTACGCCTTAATATGATTATTTTATTCATCATGGTATTATTAGATTTTAGGATATTGAAAACCATGTAAATACAGTAGCCCGCTTAAGGTAATTTTTTAATAACTGTTAGTTTCTTAAAATTGATTTTTAACTAATTTATCCTTGTCCATCTAATGGATGACAAATATCTACAGTATATCTATGTTCTGTACATGGGGAGCAAGCTGGTCTAGTGGTTAGAGCTTGGGACTTTGGTCCAAGAGGTCCTGGGTTCAAATCCCGCCAAATCACCAATGGATTTTATCTAAATGATAATGCCACAACCCCTATGTTTAGCCTGAAGTAGGCCTAATGTGAAAAACAATCGTCTTGCCTAGCATCCTAGGACAAAAAAATGTCTGTACATACTATGTTATTAATGGCTGGGTAGATCAGTGGTGATAGTGCTTGCCTAGCAATCAAAAGATCCAGAAATGAATCAAAAGATTCAGATCCTGAGAAAGGTGTGTAGCTTTTTGATGGTTCGAAACTAGACCCAGCTGTCCTTGATCATTGGGATTTCAATAAATGGTCCTGACTAATGAAACAGCTGGTCAGTAACAACGCTACACAGTACACAAGGCATCACACTCCATTCTACACTCATCCCTCGTTCATATTTGGGTTAAAATACGCACGTAGGAGGCGTCCCCACCCCAAATGGTAATAATGCAGCATGATTACACCAATTTGGTGCAGCAACTACTAGCTTAATGAATTTTGAGGGATTTACGAACAAGAAGGCTATCTGTTAAATCATTATTTTGATTACTAATAATAGTTTTATTATTTTTGGCTAGAGTCTCGCCAATAATTTTATGTCCTGTATATGTTAAATCAATGTATTACTTTCCATTACGTTCAGGGTTGCCAACATGTAAAAGGGTATTTCATGTAGACAAGTGCCTAGCTCTCTTGGTTTGTCAATACTCATAGTGTCTTAGTTGTTAGCTTTTTAAGAAGGATTAAGCTGGATAGCTGATTCGTTATCATGCTCCTCTATTAAATTGGAGGACGCAGAACCGATTATGACAAAAGTCAGTATTTTTTATCATACAAAAAACCCCAGCTGTGATTTTTCATTTGCCTGATAAATTATAAGAGTCTCTGATGCTGTTGTGATAACTGGTTGTCTATGTTTGTGAATACTTTTATTTATAATTAGTTTTAAGTATATTAATTTATAGTGTATTAATATTTTATTTTATAGAATTTTACTTTACCTTAGGGTAATGCCACACGAGGCAATTTTCTCAGCTCGGAATTTATCGCGACTAAAATACTCGTTGCAGGATATCACACATCAAGCGTTTAAAACAGCCGTACTTACGTTGTTGCGACTGAACACCACCAGTGTAGCAGGTTAGCCAAGGGTAAAGTCAGCTGCCGCGACAGTCGCCAGCTAAAATTTCCGCTCGGCGGCTTTTAGCGCTCAATGTGGCATACACCATTCACATCTGTTCTATTTTTTTTCTTTCAGCTACAAAAACAGCTATCGTTGGCTGTAAAAACCGCCTCGTGTGGCATTAGCCTTAGTGAACAGTTTAATTTTGTTTTTATCAAAACAAAATTAAACTAAAATTAGTAATTTACGCAACGATTGCGTAAAGACTATTTACGCAAGTTGTGTACATTACTTTACCTACAACCGTCTTTTATAGGTCGGCCGCTTAGAAAGCGTCCTCCTCGTAGCATTGGTGCGAGAGAGAGATACCGAGCTGTGGGAGTGAGACAGAATATGGCTCTTCCCCCACTCCACTACCACCCCACAATGTTTTCTTGTAATTTTCCAAAGACTTTCGAATGATAATCATTAGGAATCAGCATTGAATATATAACACTATTTAGTTTTATATATCCAATATAGCGTTGTATTCAACATTGAATGAATATACTGTAGTAGTGTTATACAATATAACACTACTACAGTTAGTTATATTGTACAGTTATATGGTACCATTTAACCGAAAAACAGGAAAGCAGTAAATACTTGATTGGCTGATTGGACGGGTGGGGGATGTGCGTGCACACACCTTCTTTTATACGCCTAGCCATCCTGGATCCAGAGGTATTACCATGAGTTCTACGGTAATAGTTTATACCCTTTATAGGAAATTCACTAAAAGGCCGTCACTAAGATGTGTGATCGTTGGTGGCAACGCCATTATAATTGCAATCACGTTATATGTTAAAGTCGTGGTGTTGCCAACAAAGCTTTTACTCCTTGGAGGATTACTTCAAAGCCCAGTTAGTTTTTTAATATTTTTTATGCCGCCTGACACTCAAGTAATTAATGATAATTATATGTTGAA